ATTTAGGTTTTCTTACTTTCTCAAATCAATAAACATTTCCTTTACTTTTATTATGAAGTATTCAATTACTACGATTCACTAGTGTAGTTAGTTATCGCATCAAAACCTTTATGGAGACACAAAGAAATTAAACAACTTTATTTTATTAAGAACTTTTCTTAAAACTTGTCATCACAAGCTAGAATTTTCTAACTAAGACCTTGAGATAACTCGTTATTTTTCTCTCCTTTTTTTCTAGATTGAATTCCTTAACTATTTATACAAAATCGTGATTTCAATCTACTTGCAGATATAACTAATTTAATAAATTAAACCAATATAACAGATATAATAAATATGTAAAACATATTTGATATGTCTGACCTATTTGATATTTTTGATATACACCGCAGCAGCTGCACCAATCGTAGCATTGACACCGCCTTTAACCGGTTACTGATGTATTCATAAGACCCATGAATAATTGATTTTGTAGTCTGGGTCTTTCGGTCCGGTATTTCCAGTTGGTCACAAGAGAATAAATAAATAATAATTAGACGAAACCTTTACACATTTCACATTTCATACGTGATGTTTCACTAATACCAAGGTGTTTAGAAATTTGACGAGATTTCAAGCCTTCTAAAGCTTTCGATTATTTGCCATCTAATATGTATGGAAAGCCTGCATGGATGTATTGTGAAATGTGTAAGTGTATTGTTTATTATTTATTCATATTTATATTCGTTGTTATAAACTATTAAACTACCAAATCTGTTCATGTGTCTAACTGACAGTACCCGAACCGGCAGACCGGTTTTCGGGCTTCACATTCATTTTGTCCCGGGTCTTATGAAAACAAAAATAAAGGATAAAATGAAAGAAATTTATTTTGGTCGTTATATGCAAATTTAACCGCTCCATATGTTTTTTTGATCTCTGTCCTGACCATATATAATTAAAATTGGATCCGGCACACAAGAACAGATAGATTATCAGAAAATTTCAAATTCTTTCTTTGTTATTTGGAAATGACAATTTGTATTTAATAAATTAATAGGTAGGGATTGGAAAAAATTCTACAAAGCCGATCAAAAATCGAATAAAAAAGATCAAATCTATTTTAGTGCCATATTAAGTGCGGCTATAATAAAAATTGAAATTTACCAAAGTTGTCATATTAACAAAGTTCTTTAACCCGTTCATTAAAGAAAAAAAAAAAATTAGAAGGCATTTATAAAAATAAAATAAATAAAAGATAAAAAAAGATAAAAAAACCCATAAAAATATGGAAAAATCGTGATATATCACCGAAAATAATAGAAAAAATCATAAAATTAAAGATTTTGATCGCCGCGACTAGTTCATTTAATGCGGTGTCGCTAACTTATTTAGAAAAAAATTTTTTTCAGTTACACCGATAATTCATATGAAAGGCTTAGAAATATGATTAAACGTTGCATGATCTACCGAACTCATTTTTTTCTCTAAAAAAATTTTATCGCTAACTATATAATTAAAATTAAATATGCAAACTTCCAATAATTCAAATGAATGGATTGAAGAATATGTTTCAAGCAAAGATATTAAATACTACGAATATGAATATTTTAGTAATTTTCAAGAGATTGGTACAGGCGGTTTTGGAAAAGTCTATCGTGCAAATTGGAAAAATTCAAAGCAATACCGTGCGTTAAAATCATTTCATTGCATTAATGCAATATTTAAATCAGTCTATTATAGTGTATATATATATTTCAAACTAAAATTTATATTCGTAACAATTTAGCTCGAACTTCATCGTGAAGTTAATGATCATAGTAATATCATTCGCTTTTATGGATAACTTCAAAACAAAGTAAATGTTTTCATGATAAAGTTTATTTATATTTTTAATTTTTAATTTTATTTCTAACTCATTTATAATTTTTAAAAATTAGAAAAGCAAAATGATCAATTGAAAATGTATTGATTAGTGATCTGACCAATATGACAAATTGGACCCTACCAGATTTATTATATTATATATTCATTATATTTATCATATTTTATTTACTATTATTTTATTTTGTATAAATACCCTGTATCTTTGACCTGCTAAATGGCATAATCGCTACAATTCTCTAAATAAATCAATACTTTATCCCTAAAACTTATCTCTGCTCATTGAACAATTCATTCTTCTATATCAATAAAGACGACCTGACCCTTAAATTTAATTATTCGTGTTTATTTCTTCCATAGTTTAGACGCACTTAAACTCCCTGCTAGCAAATAATCTTTGTTAACTTAACGAATAACTGTTTAAGCTAACAACATCAGATCAGATTTCTCTGAAAAGAATCGAATTAATTCTTTGGATAATACTTCTCACTTTCAAATTCAAACAATTAGATGATTATAATATTATAATGATGCGCCACTCTACAGCGGGAAATGCTTATACTATTATTTGAATTTATTAGCCGTTTTAAGCCAGAGATTCAATCTGAATAACAAAAATAGAACATCAAACATTAAACTATCAAATCAAACATTCAAATAAACTTTTTAGGTTTAATATGTAATTGCATAACCTTATGAAAAAAATCCCATACACTTTTTGTGTAGCTTTTGTGCCAAAAAAAAATTACATTTCCGGACAGTGCAGGGTGCCAAAACATAGCACATTTTTCCTACAACATCTGAATTAGAAAAATCAACTGTACTAATCGATATAGTTTTTGTATGATTATTTCCTAGCTTAAATTTATTATCATATATAGTATTTTTGTCTGCTCTGCAAGTTTACTTTTAACGCCAAGAAAGGTTTTAAACTCAATTTGTTATTATTTGCAATTTTTGTAAAAAATTAATTAATTAATTTACACACTTTTAGTAATATTAAATTTTCCATACGTCGATAAAATACTAAACTATACAAAATCTGTATGTTTCAATTTTTCAATACAATTTTTATATATTTCAAATTTCAAATTTTTTTTCTGTACGATTTCTCTACGTTAAAATTTCTGTACAATTATTTTTGTATGGAAAATTGAAATAACTACACAAAAACTGTATGATTTCAGTATACACCTGTACAACTTTTTTTCATAGGATAAAGGATTAATAAAAAAAGAATTGACTTCGTATTTTTTTTATGCAAAAATAATTAGTTTCCTTAAGTTTAAATTGCAATTGTAGCACGATAAAACATCTATTACAGAATGGTGATTGCATCATTTTTTTCAAATGACGTGATGTAGAGTTCTTTCATTTTAAATATTAAATATTTTTTATATTTTAAATATAATATAACTCGTAAACTCGACTCGTGATCAAGGGAAGCTTTTTGTTATAACTACAATGATAGAAAAGTATTATGCGCCGAATAAAACTTGGCCAATGTTATTGGTATTTAATTGATTGAATTCACGAGTTTATTCGAACCAATGACACACATTAGTTTATTCACGGACAAATCATATAATTATGAATTATTATTATCATTATTATTTTTTTTTATTGATCAATTCTTTTAAAAAATTTCATCATATGATGAAAAGCCCAAAGTCTATAATTAATTCTATTTATTACAAACTTAGAAAGTACTGTATCTCATAAATCTTCCTGTAATATTGCATGTTGGTTCGTGCAATTGTGAAACTATTATTTTAAGAAATAATGGTTAGTTTGTAATCAATTTTCAAAAATTTCCATGTATACTATTTGAGATTTAGTAATAAATTTCGCTAAACAGAATTATAAAATTTTTGACGCTATCGTAATTCTTATTAATAGTATAAATCAAAAGACTTTAGAATGGTTAGAAACTTTTATTTGTTGAAAGCAAATAAAAGAATTCGAATAACTTTACTTTTATATAAAGAAAAATTTAACACCACATTTTATATCAAAATTTCATCAAGGACTTGTTGACGAACCATTTTGCCCGGGAAGTAATAATTTGGCTAAAGGACAAATCGATCTACAAAAACTAGGACACAGCTCCCCGGGTCTATACAACTCACCTTTTTTTTGAATATCATTCACAAATAATGATAGAACTAAAATATATTAAACAAATAAAGAAGAAATTTGGAGATTATCCAATTTTCTTTTCGATTTTCACTGAAGTGAAGAAAGTTCAAGATGGAGAACAGATTCTTCAAAGTAGTAGTACTAGCCGTAAGCGTTGGAGTTGCCAGAAAATCGCGAAAAAATTCTCAATTAAATAAAAGTTTCAAAAATTTTTAGCTGAATTGGATCCTCACAACTATATTTATTAATATTATTAATATTTTAATAATATAATTATGGTTGATTATTTCAAAGAGTTAGTCGTCGACTGAAAAGAATCTAACGAAACGACTGACTGTGCCGATTCCAGAATTTTGCTCGACTGGTACTACTTCTTCAAGTTTAAGACGCGAAAATATTAAATTTTTAGGTCCTTAACTCTTCCCATACGATAGAAGACAAAGTTTATTTAATCTTGAATTCGTATTACTAGCTGGCGCGGAATATAGAATAATTTCTTTAGGATATAAAAGTCAAATTTAGCAAAAGAACGACTTATAAATGGGACTACGGGAATGATATGGATATTGTATGCTGTTGCTCTACTGGTATTAATTTTGTTGTGCGGTGCGGTGAGTTAATTGACCAATAGTACTTCATTATACAGTTATTTTTTATACAAAACGATGATGTGATTTTTTGCGTAAACTTTTTGTCATTTAACAGTAGTGAAAAATTAATTATAAAAATCTTTTTATTTTTATTTTTATTTAATACGAAGATACTAGCGGTTACACAGATTCATCAATTTTTTACATGTGGTCAATAGATCTAAGCTCATTATTTCATTTCAACTATGAATAAACTTTTATAGAGAGCGGAAGTGAGAAACATTACAAAATTTCCTGTATCAATATCTCACAAAATATCAATCTAACTAACAGAGTTAAAACCACGAACATCAGCAAATATATCTCAAAGGAATGAATTTTGGAATTTTTATTCAGAAAAAACATTTTTTAGGTTACTTGGAATAATTCTGAGGTTTCAATAGGTGGAAAAATCAAATTAGTTTGGAAAACTGCAAAAGTTTCGACGGATGTTAAAACTTTCAACGATGCAATGTTTTCACGTATATCATCAAACCTTTAAAATAGAGTTCCCTTCGAATGAAACCTTTTGAAATCTAGAAAATTCTTTATAATTTAGAATTATTTTCGCATCTCTGTCTATGTATCAAAATCCAACGAAAACCTGTCTAAAGCAATCAAAATCCTCGAAATTGTCGAAAGTCAAAACTGTCGAGTTTGAAGAATTTTCATCGATAATTTTCTAACACATCGTAAAAATGTTGAAACCGACCAAGTTTTTATTTTGTTTGTAATTTTATTAAGATTAATATTATAAATCAATAATATTTCGAAACCTAACTATTACAAAACGCCGGCGATACTTCGTAAAATAACACAAAATTACGTGATCGATAATAATTTCTGACGAATCAGAGTCCATCACGTGACGACCAGGTCGGGTTTCTGCAAAGTAGGAAGTAGAGGAACCCGCAACTAAGATGCGCAGTGTAGAAGAGTTAATTAAGAAAAATAATTATAGAAGCGTACTGTATCACGGGTTAGATCTTTGTATTTATTTCTTAATTGAATTAATAAAAAATTTTTTATACATTTCAATATTATCTATGAAGTATTGAAAAGCAAAAGTCAGGCGCAATATATAAAAATATAGTCATACCTGCATTTTATTATCTCTTTCTAACTCCGGAATTTAATCACAGATCTTAGAGATATAAGCGAAATTTGGGTAATGTGTAATGTAAAGTTAAATTCGCATAAAGTATATATTTATTAAAAGAAAGCTAAATAAAGCAAACACTATCATTGACTATAAAAAAAGGTAAATATATCAAATAATTCCTGCATTAATGTTTTTTTATTCTTTTTTTTTTTGTCGCTTCTTTTTTTTCCCACTTTTTTTGATGCTTCCTTTTCTTTTCTAGTGACTCTTCAGAAACAATAATCGAGGTTTTTTTACCCTCAATGTAATTCTTTATACTTTCATCTTTCAGTGAAATCAAACAATGAGTATTTTCTTCAATGTAGCAAAGTTTTCCCGAATGAAAGATAAAGTTGATTAGAGCTTCTCTCATGCCACAGTATATCCCAGTGTTCGGAAATAACCTGGTCATTTGACCATTTAAATTATTTGTCTATTCCTTTGTCATAATCATAAATCATTTAGCATTTGTCATTTCGCA